TTTATTGTTGAATAATATTTCACTGTATGGATATCTGCAAGTCCACTAATCTTCTGTCATGTCTGATTTCCCATTATTTCTCATCTCAGGCAGTGTAATTTTCATCATTAGAAGTTTGATCTTAGCTCTTTTATACCTTCCATGTCTCTACTTAACTTTTCGAACAAACTACAGTTATTAATAACTTTCTAATGTCCTTCTCTGCTAATTATAACATTTATATGTGTGCATTTACAACTTAGGGAATTTTAGTATATTCATAAGTTTTTGCAACCATCATCATGATCTAATGCTAGAACATTTTATCACACCCAAAAGAAACTCTATACCCACTAGTAGTCACTCTTCATTTTTTCCTTCCCCAAATTCCAGGCAACCAACCAGTTATCTATTTTCTGCCTGTATGGATTTGCCCATTCTGGACATTTCATATAAATGGAATCATACAATATGTCATCTTTTGTATTTGGCTTCTTTTACTAGCATGCACTACAAGTCGACAATCGAGGCTGAATATGGGTCCTTTCCATCTATGGTACAACTCTGGGAAAGTTACCTAATGTCTCTGAACCTTTTATTTATTCATGTGTAAATGAGGCTAGTACATAGGATTGTTGGGATAATATTGCATAGTGTGTGTTTATATATTTAAGTGTGTGTATATATGTGTATATGTGTGTGCATGTATATATGTATATGTATATGGAGAGAGAGAGAGAGAGAGAGAGAGAGAGAGAGAGAGAGAGAGAGAGAGAGAACTGGTAAATATTAGGCCCTGGTTAAGTTTAAGGACATCTTCTCCCCCTTGTAATTATTTTCCAGTGTGCAGGTAACTGCGGGTTTAGTTACCGACAAAGGATTACATATTGCATCCGGATCCAGTCTACTGAGAAATACAAGCTCCATCAGCTTTGGCCTATAGACTATAGAGAATGCCCCGTGCTGCCTTCCCCTCAGCTTTACAAATGCAATTTTGGGAGCTGTTTGCATGTGGCCACTTGGAAAGTTGGAAAATGGAGCAAGGTTAGTATATTATTATGAATTCAAAATCTTCTGAATGAGACTTTCTAGGTGGGGGATGCCTAGTAATTTGCATGTCTAACTAGATCTGAGTTGTTTCAGTCCCCTATTGTATAAAAACTACTTTGTCAGTTATCTGTATAAATTTCTCTTTTTCTATGCTTGCTGTAACCTCCTTACAAGCAGGAACTATAACTAATACTTATTTCTGTTCTTCAGGGAGCCTCTCCCAGTGGCTTGCATTTTGAGTGGACACTCAAAAAATATTTATTGATGAAGAAGTAAATAAATCTAATATATGAATAATAAAAGTTATTTGCACTATATTCCACTTCCAATTTAATTGATAGAAAGCATTTACATATTGCTTTGCAAGCAGCCTATAACAGTGAGAAAAAACTCAGTCGTCTTAATCACCAACATTAACTAATGTTGATTAAACATTTCTAATATACTGTTGATATAACCATACAAAATAAATGAAAAGAAGCCATTAACTGAGACATAATAGATGCAGGATAATGCCTACGGTTTACTCCCACCTGTGTCTGTCCAGCCTCCAGAGTATTTTTTTTGTCTGCAGTAGTTCTAGCCACTATCGATCATCAGTTTGTTCCAAAAGGACCTGGTCTGAGAAGAGGAGATCGGGACGCAATGGCTTTATTGTCCATGAAAAGCTTTAACTTCAGATTTTACTCTGCTCGCAGTGCTCAGTGACATGTGGAGCTGGCGTAACGGAGAGGAGAGTGGCATGCGTGGCTGGAAA